TCAGAAGACATGGTCCTGAGGTAATGACTCTGCCTCTGCACCCATAACCAGCTGATCCCATGAGCCAGTGCTTTGATGGTCAGTTACTAATTCATGCCTCTCCCACAGCTATAGCTATAGTTCAAAAAAGGAAGTTTATCAGCCCCACTGTCAGAGATTGAAGCCAATCTGCTACAATAATTTCATGCAGCTCCCAGATGGTTTTCCTCTTTGCTTCTCATTTCCATCAATCCACCTGAAAAAACACATTTTAGACATTCCAAGGCTTCAGTTCAATTGGAAGATCAGATTGACCATTATTTCAATTTTACCTCATCTTTTTAAAAATGCATATTTGCTCTATATTTTACAGTGTGTGTAATATTTGCTGAGTAGTATAAGTATTTTAGTTTGTAAGTAAATATGCCCAAAATAGGCTGTGGGCTTGATGTTTTTTAAGAGTTGTGAGTTAAATAAAATTTGGAGATCACTGGTACCGAGGACTGATGTGGTGCTTTTTGGGCAAAACTTACTTGGCCAAAGCTAATAGATATCATTGTGTATGGATGGACAATAATCATCAGACATCATTATGTCTGAAAGTTTTATGTACACAAATTATAGACTTCCCTCTGTCAAATTTTGTCAGTAACAATTTTGACTTGGTGAGCATAAGTACCTACTATGTGCTTGGGCTACTAAGAAAGGTAAAAAAAAAACAGCCCCTGGCCTCAAGGAGCTCGAATGTAGGTGAGGAGACAGCATGCCAACTACTATTTAAAAACAAGATGATGATAACATGAAGTGAGGATAGTCTTGGAGGGAAGGTGTTAATATTAAGGGAGACTGGGAGAGTTTTCATGTACCAGGTGGAACTTTAGTTGGGATTAAGAGGAAGCCAAGGATATTAGGAGATGGAGATGAGGTGGAGAGAATCTAGGCATGAAGGAGGGTCAAGAAAGATGGCTGGAGTCAGAAGATGGAGTGTACTGTGTGAGGAACAGAGAGGAGGGAGGCCTCACTGCATTGCAGGGTAGGGATAAGTAAGGTGTAACAAGTCAATAGGACTGGATTGGACGTGGGGGATGCCAGTGTGGAGTCAAGAATAACACCACGTTTGTAAGTCTGGGTCTCTGGGACAATGGTGATAGCCAGCAATGAGCAATAACAGCAAAAAGGATGTTTAGTAGGTGGGAAAGTCTAGAGGTCAAAATAGTGAGCTCAATTTTGGATATACTGAGTTCAAGATGCCTATGGGACATTCAGTTTGATATGTCCAATAGTCAGTTGAAGATGGAAATCTGTAAGTTAGAAGAGAGGTTAGGGCTATATAAGTATTTTGGAAAATCATCAGAATACAGACAATAATTGAATCATGGGGGTTGATGAGATCACAGAGGGGAAAAAAATGTGACACAAGAAGAAGAGATGAGGGCCCAGGATAGAGGCTTGGGGAAGCCCTATTGTTAGCAAGCATGATGTGGATGAAGATCCAGCAAGAGAGATGGAGAAGGAGCAGTCAAATATGGAGAAGGAGAAACAGGAGAGAATTGTCATGAGCCTAGAGCATTGAGAAGACAGTGATGGAGCATGCCGAAGGCTGCAGTAAGGTCAAGAAGGATGGGAAATGAGAAAAAGCCATTTGGTTTGGCGAGGCAGGGACCACTGGTAGTTCTGGGGAGACGAGTTGCAGATGGATGATGAGGTCAGAAGCCCAACTTTAGGGAGTTAAGAAGAGAGTGGGAGGAGAGGAAATGGAGACATCTATTGGAGTAGGCATTCAGAAGGAGTTTAACCACAAAAGGGAGAAGAGATATGGGATGATAGTTATTGGGCATGGATGAATCAAGCAAAGATTTTGGAGTTTGCGGGAGATATGGACCATAATTGTAATGAGGTGGACAGCGTACCAGTTGTTACGTGCTGTAGGTACCCACGATCCTTTCTGAAGAATTGTAAGTTTCCCAGAAATAACAAGTCTATGAATTCCATGAGCATGGGCCACCCCAGGGCCTCCGAAAGAAAGAAAAAGAGAGTTTCATGGTAAAATAACTGGGATGTAACACACACACACACACACACACACACACACACACACACACACACACACAGAGGCATGAAGGACGGGTTGGTTCAGAAGAAGAAAAGCCTGTTAAGAAGTTACTGCAAAAATCTATTCAGGTGTCAATGAGGTCCAGGACAAAGAGGGAGGAAGTTACCTCATTTGCCCATCTCTTCCTTCCTCAATCATCAATATCAGAGATACACGTGACTGCCATCTGTAGAAAACCAGAAACTTCCCTGTTTTTTCCCTGTTGTTTGCATGTTTGTTTTTAAGTCACAAGCACTGGAAATGAGAGAACTTTATGGCCTCTCTTCTCTGAGCTCCTGTAACATTCTGTGTATCGTATTTGGGCAGTTGCTTATGTCTGATCTTATGCAACATATTCTATTTCATGTGAAAACTCTCTGAACTCCTAGGGCAGATGCAGTGTCTCTTGCCTTTTTGTTTGTACATTCCACAAAGCCTAGTGTTCCATAGTAAACAATGAATACATATCTGGAGATTTAAGAAAACTACCAATGGTATAATCAATTTGTTTTACATCCCACAAAGTCTTCACTTGGAGAAGTTTTTATGGTGAAGGAGATTTATTTCCATTTCTCCTGACAGAAGGTAATTGTGGGCCCAGCTACTGAGATGACAAATGCCCAGACCGGAAAGAAGAGGAACACTCCAGGTGATGTGAATTATGAAGTCTAGGGATGGTCAGGTCTTGTCTTAGATAATTCCTCTAAGCTATGGGAAGCCAGTAAATGCTCCAAACACCAAACACCAAAGCCAGGTAATGACACCTCAGGAGGAGAGGGAATAGCATTACTCTACTTGGTATAAAGTTTCTAATTGGAATTCTTCTTTAAAAAAATCTCTTGACTTCAAGAAGCTTACATTCTGCAATAAAGTGTGTAGATAGACTGTGTTATCTTTGCCAATATAAACACAAACTTAGAGTAATGCAGGATTTTCACCTCCCCGCCCCATCCTATCATTGATAGCTTTCCGATGGAACTGATGGAGAAACATAATTTTTGGTGTGCAGATGTACTTTGGAGCTGCCATCACCACAGAGTCCTTTGTGAAGAGGAATTATGGGATGGTGGGGGAGCCCTGGACTTGTCATTAGATGGTCAAGATTTTGGACTTCAATGCTCATTTTGCCTCAGTTTTCTTGCAAGGAAAATGGGGACAGTAACACTGAGCCTCTACCTCATAGGACTATTGTAAGCACAGCACTTTATTAATGATGTGTGTGTGTGTGTGTGTGTGTTTAAATTTGACTCCTTAATTTTCTTTTATAAGCCATTGACCATGAAAGATATGGCTTTGCCAATTGTCCTGAAGTACTAAGAACACTACAGTCTCCAAGTGGATCTTTTCTTTTCCCTCTCTTGTTCCTTTCCTAAACTCACCAAGTGTTTTGTCATTATTCTAACTTGGTGTCTCTAGAACCTAGCCTAGTCAGATCCAATTTAATGCAGTCTGTCCTAACCTAGTCCAACGTAATCTAATGTGATGAAGTGAGATGGTTTGGGTAAAGTGCTTTGCAAACTTTAAAACACTGTATAGATGTTAATTATTATTTCCATCCAATTCAGTCTGATATAGTCCAATAACAATTCAGCTCAATCTAATATAGTCCAATTCAGGTCAATAGGACCCAATAAATCCAATCCAATCCAATCCAATATGGCTCAGTCCAATCTAATCTAATCAAATTCAATCCAATATAGCAAGTGCTTATTAAGCCCCTGTTATGTGCCCAAGGAAAGTGCTAGACACTGATAAAGGGCACATGGAAAACAATCCCTGGTCTAAAGGATCATGCACAGGGCCCTGGGCCTGGGGTCAGGAAGACCTGAGTTCAAATCTGGCTTTAGACACTTCCTAGCTGTGTGATCCTGGGTGAGGCCCTTTACTTCTCTTTGTCTCAGTTTCCTTATCTCTAAAATGGGGATAATAATAACACTTACCTCCCAGGGTTGTTGTAAGAATCAAATGAGGTAGTAATTATATAGTGCTTTGCAAACCTTAGAATGCTGTAGAAATTCTGGCTGTTGCTGTTATTGATGATTCTGGTGTTGTTATGTAAGTGACTAGACCCACCTGAAGTTCCAAGTAACATTTATTGGGTGTTTTCCTGTCTCAGTCTTTCTGATGGTCATTGCATTGTATGTGCTTTGTGCTTCCTTTCATCTCTGGGCTCCAGATTATTTCTCTTTTATTATGAGCTTTATGGACTCTTCTCCTGGCCACTGCTTCTCCTGGCCAAAAGGAGACTCAATTAAAGTGGACCAAACTGCCCGTTTTTTTTCCCAATTCAGCATAAAACCACATACAAGACTTGGCAGACTTTTCTTTTAGACCTAGAAATGGTAGAACTGGCATTAAAATTATATTAATGCATCTGAGGAGCGCCATCAAAAGGGGCAAGAGCGTGGTCAAGCAGCAGCTAGTTGTTTGGAGCCCATTCACTCAGAAACAAGTTGCCTTAGCCCTTTGAAGTCCTGAGGGCATCACTCTACTCCTAGTGGGGAGCGGAAACCAGACCTTTCTGATGCTTGTTTTCTAACAGTCACAGTCTTCTGGATCCAAGACTAAGTTGGGGATGGTTGAGGAAGCTGGATGCTGACAGGGTTGGCACCAACATGTAGTAATGATCCAGGCAATCTCAAACTCCCAAGTAGATGAACAGGTAATTATTCACAGCAAAGCAAAGAAAAAAAAAGTGAAGATTACTCTAAAGAGACATAGATATCATTCTCTTGTTTCTTTAACTATACAAACAAAAAATGAAAACTTTGCATCTTAATTTACTAGGGCACATCTGCCCTGAGAAGATCCCTTGAGCCAAAGTGATACCTCCTAAAAGTCCTGGAAGCCTACACCTTCTCTAAGACTTCTGGCTGACACCTAGAAATACAAATTCTCCTAAAACAAGAGGCTTTGGAGACAGGTTGCAGAGCTTGGAAAATTTGTCTTTAATGTTTAAAATGAAAAGTGCCATGCACTGAAATGAGACATGTTCAGGGCAAGTGACAGGGTTCTGATCTGATGCAGGGAATGGGGAGGGCTTGAGGTTGCTGGGGGGTTATTCATTAGGACGAGACAAAAGTCTTCTCTGTTGGGGTGTCTGTCACATGTCATCCTGGGAAGCAACATCTGCAGACAGAAAAAAAGTAAGTTGTAAAAATGACTAAAACACAAAATAAAAGAAACAAGTCCCAGTGAAAATCTGAAGCCCAGAAGCTCTATCAGGAAGAGAAGATGGGAGATCTCAGAGTCTTGTCAAGTCTCCCAGCCATGAAGCTTCACCTGAGGCCTGCCATGTCTCCAGGCTTTGTTTTGTTTCCCGAGGCAGTAACAAAGGATAGCTCTATGATGCCCTTGGAGCCACATTTCAGCCCAATTTCTCAATCTCATCCCCAGAGAGGAAGCATGGTGTAGTAGATAGAGACCATCCAGGAAGGTCTGCGTTCAAGTCCTACTTCTGACACATACCGGCTGTGTGATTCTGGGCAAATCACTTACCTGGTCAGTGGCCCAGGCAATTTGCTAGGCCTAGAGATTGCAGAAAATATCCTAATGTGTAGATAGATGGAATAGGGCTCAAAACCTATCTAACTCAAGAACCCCAACCTTAGCCCTGTGATGTTAGGAGCTCACAGGGAGTGCTTTATGTTACCTTCCTCCTCAAGCCATGCTCAAAGGATGAGATTCTAGTTGTCAATGGAAATCATAAAAAATTAGACAATTTTGCATAGCCCTAACCTCAAACCAAGCGCAACTCCAGTGGTCAGAGTGAAGTTTCACTTCAAGTTGTCAGGTGTGAAGTGAAACCCAGAGGCATTCACATCAAACTCCACAGAAGGGAGACAAGTTGTTTGTAGAGTCAGTTACTATATTTGTCTGCCTTAGAAATGTGAAAGAAGGAAGGGTGTTCATCCAGCCCTGCCAGATTAGAATAAAGAAGGCAGTGGAAATAATGTTGGACTCACAGTGAAGAGGTCTGGTACCTATGTGAATATGGATAAGTCACCTCTTCTCTGGGCCTCAATTTTCTCACATTTAAAATAGGGATAATAAAGTTTATACTACATACCTCACAGGACTACTGTCTGGATCAAATAGGGCAGTCCATGGAAAGTGCATTGTAAATTAAATATACTTAAGAAACACAAAGTAAAGCCATGAGCGCTGTGTATTTCACATAATTTATAATTGAAACAAACAAAAAGAAAAGAAACACAAGGTAAAATAAATGGGGGGGGGAGGGGAGTTAACCCAGGAATTGTTGACCTATGAGTCTTGGAAACCATATGAGCAAGGATAGGCAGACCATATTCTGTTAACTTAGAAGATGCTGAGCTAGAAGTACCTTATATAAATTAATTATTGGCGATAAAAAAGGAGAAAAAAGTGTGATCTATAAAACTCTGTGGGAGTAAGAAGAAAACATTCATTTTGAAACATTTCTTTTTATTTTAAATTACATAACTGTGAGGTTATATTGGCTTGGTAATGTTATGATCATTTGGATTAGAAGTGGCAATGGCCAGATTTCCATGTTTATGTTGGTCTGGAAAAGCCACTTGAATTTAGTCAATATTCAAAACTTTATCAACAATTAGAACTTCTCGGGTTTGTGAAACTGGGTCAGAAATCTGATGGAAAATGGCTTTGGTGGCCTGCAAAATCACAGGAATGTAGATTTTATGCTGAAAGAGGCCTCAGAAACCATTTGGTCCAACTCTTCATTTTCTACATGAGAAAATGGAGGCCCTGGACATTGACTCACTTCTCCAGTGTCACACTGGAAATAAGCTTCATAAGCAGATTTGAACCAAGGCCTCTCACTCCAGGATCAATCAGTACTCTGCCTCTAATCATGGCTGGATCCTGAAATGTCAATGTGTGTGAGTATAGCATTTTAATGTCAGGATGCAGAAATAATCATTGAAAGCACTAATTCCTTTGGGCCACTGCCCTTCACACTGTTCCAAATTCAAACCTCATCAAAGAAATAGAGGGTGAGCAGTGAGCTCTGGGAAGTGACTTGGATTTTTGTATCGGTTGGTTTGCTCCTAATTCAATAATTTTTTTAATCATTAAAAAAACAGTAAAATTATCCTCAGATCATCACCACAGTGTAAATGTAGTTTGTATATCTCATCATGTGATTTGATAATGATGTTGGTTAAGTGGTAGGGAATCATATCTTGGGTGTGGCCAGTGAGGCATTCAATGACTACAGTGAAATCAAGGTCTACAGATAATAAGGGAACTTGTATGTGTGTGTCTCTGAATGTATGAATTTGGATGTGTGTGCATTTTTAGCTGTAGGAATATATTTTTGAGTCCATATGAATATGACTTAGTATATATGAATGTTATGTGTGTGAATATATAATGGTATAAATGTGTGTGTGTGTGCATGTGTATGTGTGTGTATGTGTGTGTGTGTGCGTGTGTGCGTGTGTGTGAGTGTGTGTGCGTGTGTGTGTATGTGAGTGTGCGTGTGCGTGTGCATGTGTGTGCGTGTGTGTGTATGTGAGTGTGTGTGTGCATGTGTGAGTGTGTGTATGTGTGAGTGTGTGTATGTGAGTGTGTGTGTGTGTGTGTGTGCGTGTATATGGGGTGTGTTGTGGTGGTAGGTTTTGGCTGAAGTTCTGACCTCTTCGGGCTTTGGTCGGTGATGATTGTGGTGGACAGGAGGATACAAAAGAGGACAGGCAGAGAACATTTTGCTGCCAAGCACATGCCTCTTAGGACTTGATCAAGGTCTGAGACCATGTAAAGGGAGGGATGCACTGTTAGGGATGCTGAGACCTTATCACCTGGGAGTAAAGCGATGCTGATGTTGTATCTAGATTTGTGTTACCTGTTTCCTTGAGGAATGTTGGCAGGGGGAAAATCAGTAACACATGCAGCCATAATGCTCCAGAACCCAAAGAGGTCTGGGGGCTGTAGCTCCCTTCCTTTGAGGGAAGCAAGATGGAGAATGTCCAAAGAAAATGCTGCCTGGAGAAGAGTGGGGTGGGAATCCTCCCTCTTGCACTCACCTGCATAAGACTTTCATATTATTTCTATCAGAAATGTTTCTGATCTTTTGATATTTCAAAATACCTTCATCAAGTAACTGTCCCATACATAGCACTGTGCTAAATGGTATGGACCCAACACCAAACCAGACCAAACAGTGCATGCACTCAAGGAATCTTAATTCTATAATGTGGTCTATGATAGGATGGTGCCCTCCTTGCCCACAGAGATACTGGTGCCTGCTATGTGTCTATCCTCAAAAAGAGAAGGCTAGTTGGCTACAAAGAATCAAATGGGGTTAAAAAAAAAAGGTGGGATGTGTGCTATTTGGCCCCAGGGAAAAGAAAGAGGTGCAATGAGCTAAAGCTGCAGAGAGGCTGATTGAGGCAAAAAGTTAGAAGAGCTTCTGACCAAGGAGAGCTGGCTGCCCCTGGAGCAATGGGCTGTCTCTCCTACCTCTAACGGTGATGGCTTCCAAGTTCTGGCTTCCCAGTCACTGAAGTTTGACTAGAGTTGTTGGGATGAAGTCTTGTTTGCTCTCTGTCACAAAGAGTTTTCAGAGGCATGAGCTGGGCCACATGCTCCTGGGGGCCTTTCCAGCTTTGAAATTCTCTTTTTCTGTGATTTGGTAATTATTATGGATCAAGTGATAGGGTCATTTAATATTTTTTAATATGTGTTTACCAGTACCAGTGCACGAAAGTATTTACTGGTTGGTTTTACATCAATTTTTTGATTTAAAAAATTAAAGCTCAACATTATTATTTAGAACTGGTACCATTTATTTTTCTACTAGAATGAGTCTGAAATTAAAAAAAATATTGTGTGTCAGAAAAATTAGTGTCCAACAGGAGAGCAAAGGTGCCTAGTTAACACAGTGAGTCTGTTCTGAATTGCTTCTAAGGGGATCATTTGCATCATCCTTTAAGCAAAATGTACTCACCCATGGATTCTACTAGCCCCTGGTGTTTGCAAGACGGTTGCTCCCAATACGATCAATGGGGACTCCAAATCGCCTCTTTGGAAGCTCCACCGTTTTTCTGGAAGACACAGGAATCAGGAAGGGTGAGTGTAGAAGGGAAATGCACAGAGCTACCCAGTGAAATCCAAGGCTCCTAGATTGCTTGCCAGAAGGCCCCTCAGAGGTCATCTAGTGTGACTCTTTCCTTGAGGAACCGCAGACACTGAAGACCAGAAGGGTTAAGTGACTTGCTTGAGATTACACAGGTAGCCCCAGAGTAGGATTTGCACCTGTGCATTTGATCCTATTTTCTTGGACACCTTTACTTTTCCAGTGACTTAGCCTGTGGTCCAACGATGTCTGAATGGGAATGCATGCAGGCAGATACACACAACACCTGACTTCAGGAGGGGTTGAACTAGAGGATGGTGATGCATGGCCTAGATAGATGGCCCCTGATGGGATTGCATTCTGCCTCTGGGCACATGCTGCTTGTGTGAGGCAGGACAAGTCATTGAACCTCTGTGTCCCAGGTAACTCTCTGGGACTTTAAGGTGCAGAGCTGGTGGTAATTCATGGGGAGAGGGGGTTTCCCCACTGGAAGCTCCCTGTCCCAACAAAATCACAGGCACAAACCTGAAATAAATTAAAATTATCGAAAGAGTGTAATGACAACTACAGATTACAAACAAGTGCTTTGAAAAGACCCTCTCAGCCGGGGGTGGGGGTGGGGGTGGGGGGGGTGGGGACTGAGGCACAACGGTCCTTTCGGGTTTGCTGGAGCAAGAGTGAAGGAATCTGGGAAGAGGCGCTCTGGAGGCCAGTTTGCTATGGCTCTTGTGGCCATGGGCTGTGGCTGTTCAGAAGTCAAAAGGTTCTGCCTATTTTCATCTGGGCATTTTTCCTAGAATGAAACATTTTTGGAAAGCTTCCGGTCACTTTGCCCTGGCCTTCTTCCTCTTTTCCCCTCCTCTCCCATCCCATCATCACCCACACTCATGGACGCTTGAAAAAACAGAATCAGCAACAGCAGCTGCTCAGACTTCAGTCTGGGACACTAACTGGAGCTGGCTGGTAGTCCCTCTTGTGGCAGACTAGTGGTATGACAAGCCTGAAACAACAAAGAGGCTCAACCTTCAGATATTGCTCCAATGGCCAAAAGGGAAATTGAGAGTATTCACCAGTAACATAAAGAAGAAAACGTATCTGACTCTGGCATTGATTCAGTTCTGCCTGCTTGCAGTCTTCCTCCCAAAGGTGCCCATCCCTGGCCATTGCCCAGCAGGCTGGATTGGCTTCTCTGTTAACAACGGTATTCATTTCACTGTCAGAGCTTCTAGGAATTGTGTCTCACAATCACAGTATCTCATCATAGGAAAGGACCTTAGAGGACAGCCAGTCCATACTGAACCTCGAACAGAATTCCCTAGATAACAACAAAGCGGGTCCAGACTCTTTGAAGACTTCCAGATGCAAGGCATCAATGCCTCCCAAAGCAGGCCCTCCCACTTTTGGCAGCCTGGGGTTTATCCTGGCAAAGGGGCCTACATGGCCTTTTTGGCCTCTTCTCTTCCCCCTTCACCCCATTGCTTCTGGTTCTCTTCTTGGGGTCCAAGCAGAACAAGGCCCATTACTCTGCTACTTTACAGGCACACCTTGTTTTATTGCACTTTGCAGATATTTTTTTTTGTTTGTTTTGTTTTTGCAAATTGAAGGTTTGTGGCAACCCTGAATAAAGCAAGTCTTTTGGTGCCATTTTCCCAACAGCCAGTGCTCACGTTGTGTCTCTGTGTCACATTTCAGTAATTCTCACAATATTTCATTATCATTACATTTGTTATGGTGATCTGTGATCAGTGCTCTTTGATATTACTACTGTAAATTGTTTTTTGGGTGCCATAAACTATACTCATATAAGATAATGAAATTCATCTTTAAATGTATGTGTTCTGACTGCTCCACCAACCATCTCCCTCCTGGTCCTCAGGCTTCCCTATTCCCTGAGACAAAATGATATTGAAATAAGGGCAGTCAATAATCTTGCAATGCTTTCTAAGTGTTCAAGTGAGAGGAAGAGTTAATCCATGTGGCAAACTTCATTGTTGTCTTAAGAAATACACAGTCACTGCAACCTTCAGTAACCCCACCCTAATCAGTCAGTAGCTGTCAGAATCAAGCCTGGACCCTCCACCAGCAAAAGGAGTACAACTCACTGAAGGCTCAGAGGATAGTTAGCATTCTTTTTAGAAAGAACATATTTTTTAAAGTAAAGGATGTACATTCTTTTTTTTTAGACATAATACTACTGCACCCTTAGTAGACGACAGTGTAGTGTAAACATAACTTTTATATTCACTAGGAAACGACAAGATTCATGTGATTCATTTTATTGCGACATTCCCTTTATCTTGGTGGTCTGGAAGCAAACCCACAACATGTCCTCTACTTAAAGGACCCTACTGATCCCTCACCTCTGCCCGCTGCATTCTCTCCTCTAGGCTCAGAAACATCAATTTCTACACTTACAGCACAAACTTGAGGCACCTCAATATGTTGGGTTCTAACTTACCAATGTCTTTCATAGACTTTTTTTCTTAGTGAAGCAATTGGGGTTAAGTGATGTGCCTAGGTCACACAGCTAGTGTCAAGTGTCTGAGGCCAGATTGGAACAGTGCTCTATTCACTGTGCCACCCCAGAATTGAATGCAATATTATAACTTTGCTCTCGATAGGACAGAGAACAGGGCTGCCATTCATCTCCGTGTTTCCTCCCCTACACAGCTGAAGTTTGTAGTAACATTTTGCTTCCCATACCAACTCTCATCTTATATTTGGGTAAAGGTATACTGAAGACCTGGTGCCTCTTTCCATCCAATGGCTGCCTAGCCAGGCCACAGCCACCATGTGTCATTAGTGGCTACCTTTGTAGGCTTTCACATCTTCAGGTAAGAAGTACGATAGCATTTTTAAGAAGCCTGCTATCAGAATTTCTCTGGATGTTTATAATCTTGCAAATATGAGATGCTTAGACTCAGGGGCAGCTTCTAGAATTTCAGAAGTGAATGAAATCCTTCTCAAGACTGGAGGCAGGCCCTCCCACCCGGTTCTCTGTCTCCACTCTCCTAAGGCTCCTTTGGACTGTGTCTGTGCTAAGTGGAGAGAAAGGCTCCCGAGGCATTTCAGTGAGTTCACCACCAGGAGTCACTCCATGATACGAAACTTCTCCAAGGCTAAAAAAGTAGAGAGTTTAGATGCCAACTTTTCCCTGTGTGATTGAAGAAAGCCTGTTGCCCCCTTGGTTCAAACGAGATATTAGCTACTTATTACAGCATATCCAACTGGGATTGGATTGTGAATGCTACTAGCATTTTGAAAATCATGGTGCTGCAATTGACCTTGGTGAATCACAAAAGTATTTTCTTACTTTAAGAGCATAGACCCAGGCTAGGAAGGGCCCTCAGAAGCTTGCTAGCTTAGCCTCCTCACTTAACATATGAGGACATGGAGGGCCAGGGAAGCTAGATGTTTTTTCCAAGATCCCACGTGGAGTAAACAGCAAAGTGAGATGTGAACCCAGGACCTTTGACTCTACAGCCAGTACTTTAAGTTGGCTACTAAATAGCCATTACAAACAAGCACCTTTCAAACTTTTGCAATATTGTCATAATCTTATGAAATAACTGAAAAATCCTGCTTCCTGAGGGTTGGTGTGGGAGTCTCTTTAGGTCCTTAAATGCCTTTTTCCATCAAAGGACAACAAAGTGACCTTGGGTTTCTCATGGTGGGGAAAAGTTTGGATAAGGGAAAGATGAGGCAGAGATTGCAGAGCACAACTCTTCAAGTGTTAAGAGAAGATTTCCTCCATGCTGCTTCACATTGTTACAAATGATCTAAAAATTTCATGGGCTGTCACTAAAAAGAAGGACCTGACATATTTTGTTACTCCAGAAAACAGAATCTGGAGCGAGAGGGAGATGTTACAGAAAAGTAGATTTAGGCTAAATGTCAGGAGAAATCCCTACCTCTTGCCAATCTGAGCTGTCCAAAGTGAAATGGCCTTTCTTAGGAGGAAATGGGTTTCTCTACCGTAGAGGATAAAAACAGTAATAGCTGGATGCCAGCAGAGATGTTGTGCTCAGGATTCTGGTTCAGGTGTGTGTGGGACTAGAAGGCTTTGAGCTCCTTTCTCCCTCTAATATTTGATGGTTCTAGGATTCTGTGAATGTACTGCTCAGTTAAATCATAAAAACTAAGCAAAACAACAAGCCAGGTAGACGATGGGCTGACACATCTCCAGTTCTGTCATCATTGCTGTTAGAGTTTGAGGGGCTGATGTCAAACTCCATCTGTGCCACTTACTGCTGATAAAACCTTGAGCAGGTCACTAAAACTCTTTGATCCTCATCTATGAAATTAAGAGGTTGGTCTAGATGCTGTCCACCCTCCCTCCCAGCTTTAAATTTAGAGTCTTATGATCTCAAGAAAGTTCTCACAGAATGGGACAGGCCAAGGGGAGAGCAATTTCAGTGATCCTAGTGTTGGAGGGCTGGAGGCAGGACTACCATAGGATGCTAGACTCCCACTCCAAGGAGAACAGTCAAATGAGGGGTAGAGAGATGTAGAAGGGCTATGACCTTAGGAAAGTCACTTCCTTCCCTGGCCTTCATTCTCCAGATCTGGAGGATGAGGGAGTATGAATAGCTGACCTCTACAGTCACTTCCCACTCTAGGTCTAAGGTCCTATGATCTAAAGCTCTAAAATTATGAATAGTACAAACTCAACACAAGCATGTACCAAATAATAGCTTTTAGACAGAGGCTACATGGCCTTGAAAAATCCCCAATCCAGCTAATACTATTAAGCATCCAGCGTGTGATGGTACTGTGCTAGGGTGCTGAGGTTATGTATAAAGGCAAACAATGAATGAGAATCTGTGAAGATGTATGAAACAGACAAAACTAAATTATACTTCTCATAGGGAGAAGTGACTGTATGGAATTCATTCAGAGAGGGGTAGGTCTTGCTGAAAATGTAAAGCACATTTTATGGACGACATAGCCTTAGCAAATGGTGAACTG